GGGGGGGGGGATATGTGTGTGTGTTCTAATTTCCTACAGTACTGCTACAGTGCTGCTACAGACTTATTTTGTGTTTTGAAAGTGGTTTAACAATTAACTTTAATTGTAGCTCTTTTTATTCAAACAAAAAGATCCTAACATTATAAATCCTCCCTACAGAGACTCATGCACAGCGGATCATTGGGGGTCAGGAGGTTGAGAAATATTCAATCAAACATCAGGCTTCGGTGCAAACAGAGATTGGGAACCATTACTGTGGAGGAACCTTGGTGGATGCCCAGTGGGTGGTGTCTGCTGCCCACTGCTGGAGGCCGTCAGTACTGACCCCTCACCTTGAGTGCCATTATTTTCAGAACTGTATCTAGCTTTAGTTTCCTCATTCAAAATCAGAACTCACTTTCGTTTTAATATTAGCAAATGTTTACATTTATTTTATTGTGTTTCTCAGTCAGAAGTCAGTAATTTGTTTCTGTTTGTGTCTCCCAGGAGCCAGTTGATGATGGTGGTGCTGAGTGAGCACAACTTGGAGGAAACAGAAGGATTTGAGCAGGTCTTCAACGTCTCAAAGATATATGTTCACAACTACAACTATAAGACCTTCGATAATGACATCATGCTTATTAAGGTTAGCAGAAACGTCAGCATGCTCCTCATGTGTAACAGACAAATGATACTTGGTCAACATCACATGATTGTGTGGCTCCAACTTTACTTTCTGTCACAGCTGAGCGAGCCGGCAGAGCTCAACGCTTACGTCCAGCCTGTCACCCTGCCTGATAAAAACACCCCCTCATTATGGGGGGATGTCTGCAAAGTGAGTGGCTGGGGGGTGACACAGCTTCACAGTGTCAAGCTCTCCCCTGTTCTACAAGCTGTGAACGTGAGAGAAAATCCTTTCTGCAGCTGGTACTACTGGGGCAAGACCACCTCAAATATGATTTGTGCTGGGTCTATATTTGGCGGCAAAGATTCCTGCCAGGTACAAATACCTCATAAATTCTGTTTCGGTGCAGGCAATACTTTCAGTATAATGATTACTGTAGTCCTGCACATGTGGCCAGCTTTGAATTATTATTTTTTTTTTTTTTGCTGCATTACATTATAAATCTGATGGATTTATTTTGTGTGTGTGTTTTTTTTTGGAGAACAATTTATGTGAAGGAGTTCTGACAGCATTTATTGTGTCCAACTAATGACTCCTGAGATATTTCATTACCAAATGAAGGTGTCCATCATAGCAAATATACACAAAGTGACCACATAAAGATAATACATTATTCTAATGAAAACGCTGCTGCAAAAGTTGTTACTTGTTTTTAATATTGGCCCAAGTAAAAACATTTTATTTCAAATTTTATTTATGACTCCCCAGGGTGACTCCGGTGGTCCACTTGTCTGCAATGGCTACCTTGAGGGCCTCGTTTCCTGGGGTGTCAGCTGTGCAAATCCATTCTACCCAGGTGTCTACACCAAAGTGAGGCAGTACGTTGACTGGATCAAGTGGGTGATTGATCATGACTCATAAGCATCCATCCATTATCATAACCAGCTTCTTCCATTCTGGGTCCTGGGGGCTCACTGGTGCCCATGCCCAGCAATCTGGATGCAAGAGGCCGGGGACACCCTGGACAGGTCTCCAGTCCATCACAGGGACACATAAAGACAAGCAAGACAAACAACCATTCACTCTCTCACTCACACCTATTTTCATTTACTTTAAAAACAAAAATTTGACATTTTATCTTTGGATATGCCTATACTGAATGTCATTTTACATAGCTAAGTAGTCATTCACTGTTTGGAATAAATGTTTAGTTATTTAAATTTTAAATTTGTTCACATTTGTTCAAATACTGTATTCCATCAATTTTCAGATAGATTTTTAAATAAATGCCATTCAAAAACCCTGTTGTTTTGTAGTTACTGTTTCTAATTAAATGGTAAATGAACTGTTTTTTAGAAGCTTTCTAGCCAATCAGGCTACTCAAAGAACTTTACAACACAATAACAAAGTCCATGCTCAATATCCAGGTATACAATCCAACATTTTTCAGTCAGGTCCTCTGAACAGTTTCTTTCTTTTTTGGTGCTGAAACGTTTCACGTTCCATCCGGAAGGCTTCATCAGTCAAGGAAACACACAACAGAAAACTGATTCTTCCCCCAAACAGCTTACTCCAAAGTGGAACTAAGCTGTTGTGGGAAGAATCAGTTTCGTGTTGTGTGTTTACTGGACTGATGAAGCCTTCCGGATGGAACGTGAAACGTTTCAGCACAAAACAAAAGAACTGTCCAGAAGACCCGACTGAAAAATGTTGGATTTACAACACAACCTGTGCCATCATTTACCTGTCCACAGACAAAGCACCCCATCTCTACAAAACTAATCTGAATAAATCATCTATTTACAATTCTATATTGATCAGTCCTTTAAATTACATTAATACACCAATGGGGCACATCAAAGATAAGGCGTTCAGTGTCTTGCCCAGGGACACTTTGACATGTGACTGTAAACTGGGGAAATTGAACCTCTGATTTTCTTGTTGGAGGACAACTGCTGTAACCACTGAGCCACAGTCGCTGGAATTAGTAGACCCAAATGTGTTGTAAGGGTTTGCTGGCCACACCTAGCAGAAGAAATCATCAAAAGGATCTTGAACTCCCGTCTCTCAAAGAGTATCAACCACATCCCAGTGGAGGGAGAGAGCACTGAGCCAGAATAGGTCATGTTCTATAGGCCTCCATTGTTGAGGTGGTTGCCACTGGCCACAAGGCTGTAGGCACCTCTCATGGCAGCCATCCTTGAACCCAGTGGTCTCGTTTTTCAATCACTTTTCAATGCCAAATTGGTTATCAGGTCAGTGAAGTTTTTAAATTTGGAATAGCACAGAATAACTAAATAAATTATTTTACAATACCTCCTTTGGGTTTTGAAAAACAGATCCCCTGGTTTTGTATGACAACAATTCCCTGTAATGTCTATGACTAGACAAGGTTTGCAAGATGGAAGCCTTCCACAAATAAAAAAAATCTAAACATTCAGGTCCAAATAAATATATATATATATAAAAAAAAAACATCAAGTGCCACAAAAGTACGTGGAAAAATGTGTTGGTCTGTTGAACATTTTGGCCATTGATCCATCCATTATTTGTTGTTATATGTTATATTATATGCCCAAAACACCTGCCTAGGGAGGCAACCAAGGAGCATCCTTTACCAAATGCTCACCACAACCACCTCAACTGATTCCTCCCAGTGTGGAGGAGCAGTTGCTCTTCTCTGAGTTCCACCCAGATAACTGATTTCTCATCCTATCTCTAAGAGAGAGCCCAGCTACACTGCAGAGAAAACTTGTTTTGACTGCCTGTAATCACAATATCTTTCTTTGGGCCACTACCAACAGTTAGTGACTAAAGGTGAAGGTACATAGACCATCCAATAAACAGAGTGTTGCCTTGAAGCTCTTCAACACAATAAATTGCCACAGAGTCTGAATACTGTGGCAGTCCAGCCACTGATTTGTCCATCTTGTGCTCCATTATTTTCTCATTTGTGAACAAAACTGCAAGATTCTTAAACTTCTCCCGCTAAGGCAGGAGTTCACTCCCAAACTAGAGCTGAGAATCATGACCTCAGATTTTGAGGTGCTAATACTGATCACAGCTACATCCTGCTTGGTTGAGAACTGCTCCAGTGAGAGGTGGTGATCACAGCATGATGACACCAACAGGACCATAACATTCACAAAAAGCAAATATGGAATGCTGAGGTCACCACACCAGACCCCTTCTGCCCTCTAGCTGCACACAGAAATTGTGTCCATAAAAGCCATGAACAGAATCTGTAACAAGGGCAAAGTCCAACTCCCACCTAGTGATCCAACGTATTGCAATGCTTTTGCTATCCCACTTAAAGCAATGTAAATCAAATTCTTGCACCATTTGGATCAAGACTGAATGGCCTGAAACTGCTCAATGACATCACTGGTTACGGTCAATTGCACCCCACTTCCACTATACACAATTTTGGTAAAGTGTTGCTTACCCCACATCAGCTGCCTAGTGTACTTAAGAGACTTTTTGGTCAAGGGTTATGAATGTTTTTATTGTGTGTTTATTATTATTATTATTATTATTATTATTTTAACTGAGATGGCTGAGCCATCTTGCCTTGAGAACTAAAACAATCTCCTATCTCCAGTGGAGGCTGACTTCCCGTCTCGTAGTGCCTCCTTTGTGTTATCGCCAAGAGAACATGCCCAAAACATTCTCTTAGCTCGACCTGGAGGCTAACTTACGGAGCCTCTGTTGGCCATCTCTGTGCTTTTGAGGGTTGGTACTGCAGCTGGTTACAGGATGAGGGAACGCCCACCGAACTCCACTGAACTTAACTAAACTGACCTGTATACAAGTCTCTGTTCACCTCTGATTCAGACATTGTTTTCATGCATATGCATTTATCAAAGTCAAAGTTTACTTGTCATAAACACCACGTGTGGTACATGTGGTGGAACGAAATTGTGTGCACAGGGTCCCAGTTACATCCAGTATAAAATGTAAAAGAAAAACAGTAATAAGCTCTAAGATATGAACTAAGAAAAATCCTGATACATGCTCAATAACCCAGGTAGAAAAATCCCCAAAAAAGTTCAATCTGGTCCTCTGGACATTCAAAAAACAAGAAAAAAAAAGAAAAAAAAAAAACAAAGCAAAAGAAACGTTTCGTCTCTCATCCAAGAGACTTCCTCAGTCTGAGGTGCTGTATTCAGCTGAGGAAGACTGAGGATGTCTCTTGGATGAGAGACGAAACGTTTCTTTTGCTTTGTTTTTTTTTTTGTTTGTTTGTTTTTCTTGTTTTTTGAATGTCCAGAGGACCAGATTGAACTTTTTTTTGGATTGAACTAAGAAAAATGTTAAACTAAAAATACGCTAAGCACTAATAGTAGAAAAACAATACGCTGAACAGCAGCACGAACATGAGTCTGTGTGAGCAGATGAGCAAGAATGAACACAGCAGCATGAATTAAATCAGCATCAACAAGAAACAGATCAGCAGCAACATGATGTGACTTTTTCACAGTGATTATCCTGGTTATATTCATCTGAGTGTAACAGCCTCAAGGTAGAAGCTGTTCCTCAGTCTAGTGGTTCTACACTTGGGTTGTTTTCACACCTGATAGTCCAGTAGACTCGATTCGGTTGGGGACCAATATTCATAATATTTTGTTTACATTTCAGCTGGTACGGTTTGCATTCACACTGCACTGTGCAGTCCAGCCAACCTGTTTGAACCTACCTGTTCCCCCACTCGCCTGTGGTGGCGCTGCACCGAGAACTACTGAAGGAAACAGTGACAACTTCAGAAGAAGACACTTCTTCTTCTGTAACGAAAAACAAACATGGAGCGGCGTCAAATTTTAGCGGTTTTAGGTTTTATGTATTGTCTGTGGCACATGTGCCAGACAAACATTTTTCAACAATGGACTCTACATGAGCGGAAGATAAGGCAGAAGACCATGACGAGAGTTGTTTTTCACGCAAGGCGGGTGAGACAGCATCGTATGAGGCGGCGTGCACTGAGAAGGAGCGCATCCAGGTTCATAGTACTGATGTCCACCATGTACAGACGTCAAGCAAGGTATACTGTTCATGAGTTACTTAACAACATAACACTTGTAATCTAAAAAAATCAAACCAGTTATTCAACATCAAACAATACAAATAACATTCAACAGCAATGCTGAATGTGGCTTTATTGAAACTAATTAGAACAACTGGCTGAGCTTAGTTTTGATAAATAGGATCAGTTGGATTTATTTTTTTTTCTGCCTCTATGCATTTGTTGTGAATTGGTGATATATAAATAAACTCAAATTAATGTAATGGAAAACTAAAAACACAGCGCATTGCAAATTTAGTGTAAAATTAAATTATTTACAAAAGTTAAACCCTCAACTAATATAGATTTATGATACATTGTATATATATATATATATATATATATGTATATATATATATATATATATATATATATAATATGTCATTTTTTTCTAACCCTTACTGTGATATAATTTTCTTTCATTGTGGTACTATTAATGGTAGTATAGTACAATACTATTAATACCTACTTCTTTGTGTTTTTGTCCTTGTAGGAGCATGTGGGCTCAGCCGCGTTCATCAACTTGGTGGGAAGCTGTTAATAGGTCCTGGGATGAAACGGATTGGCAAAGAAACTTCAGGATGACAAAAACCTCATTTCTGCATCTTTGTGACATCCTCCGACCACGTTTGACACGCCAACACACTAGATATCGTAGTCCACTTCCTGTTGAGCTGCGGGTTGCAATATGTCTGTGGAGGCTTGCAACAAATCTGGAGTATCGCTCCATCTCCCACCTGTTCGGTGTGGGCATCTCTACAGCCTGTAGTGTCACTCAACAGGTTGTAACTGCTATTAATGTTGTAATGAAACCTCTCTATATAAAAACCCCTTCTGATGAAGAACTTATGGTGATCGTCCA